CCTCATCAGGCAAGGTCACTTGGCGCCTTTGTTTCCTCCGTCTTAAGAGTTCGGTTGGGTTTCTCTTTGTGATGCTCATATACAGGTCCACCTGGTTGGCATTGACATCTTCACTGGGAAAAAATATGAAGATATCTGCCCGTCAACTCATAACATGGATGTCCCCAACATCAAAAGGAATGACTTCCAGGTATGTAGATGGTTTGGATGAGGATGGGTTAGCCGTTCATGGTGGAGGGAGAAGTTGGGGGATAGGGACTGACCAGGAGAGCTTGTGCTGGGAGAGGAAGGAAATGGCAGGAGAAGGTATTTGGTATTAGTTTGCTATCACTCCAGTTTGTCTATCAGAGCCTTTACTCTCAGCCTCCCTGGGCCTACTACCTTCAGCTTCCTTCCCTATCTGCCCCCAGCTGATTGGCATCCAGGATGGGTACCTATCACTGCTCCAGGACAGTGGGGAGGTACGAGAGGACCTTCGTCTCCCTGAGGGAGACCTTGGCAAGGAGATTGAGCAGAAGTACGACTGTGGAGAAGAGATCCTGGTATGGTGCCTCCCTGCTTTTTCTTTTCTTTTTTTTTTGGAGATGGAGTCTTGTTCTGTTGCCCAGGCTGGAGTGCAGTGGCGCGATCTCGACTCACTGCAAGCTCTGCTTCCCGGGTTCTCGCCGTTCTCCTGCCTCAGCCTTCTGAGTAGCTGGGACTACAGGAGCCCGCCACCACACGTGGCTAATTTTTTGTATTTTTAGTAGAGACAGGGTTTCACCATGTTAGCCAGGATGGTCTTAATCTCCTGACCTCGTGATCCACCCGCCTTGGCCTCCCAAAGTGCTGGAATTACAGGCGTGAGCCACCACGCCCGGCCCCCTCCCTGCTTTTGTGCTCAGCTTTGTTCTGTACGTTTCTTCCTGAGCTCAGACATCTGGCTCTCTCTCTTGCTCCTCCAGATCACGGTGCTGTCTGCCATGACAGAGGAGGCAGCTGTTGCAATCAAGGCCATGGCAAAATAACTGGCTCCCAGGTGAGTGTGACAAATCCCTCACTGTCCCCTTCACATTTTGTTGTCCTCAGCAGATCTGCTCTAGTCTTAATTGTTCCAGGCTTACTTTGTGCCCCTAGCCTGGCCCTGTCCTCCCTATCCTTCCTGTTGAAGGTATTATCCTATCTTACTAATTTCTCTCTCCTACCTAGGGTGGCGGTGGTGGCAGCAGTGATCCTCTGAACCTGCAGAGGCCCCCTCCCCCAGCCTGGCCTGGCTCTGGCCTGGTCGTAGGCTGGACTCCTCCTACACGATTTATTTGACGTTTTATTTTGGTTTTCCCCACCCCCTCAATCTGTCGGGGAGCCCCTCCCCTTCACCTAGCTCCCTTGGCCAGGAGCAAGCGAAGCCGTGGCCTTGGTGAAGCTGCCCTCCTCTTCTCCCCTCACACTACAGCCCTGGTGGGGGAGAAGGGGGTGGGTGCTGCTTGTGGTTTAGTCTTTTTTTTTTTTTTTTTTTTTTTTTTTTTGTTAATTCAATCTGGAACCAGAAAGTGGTGGATTCTGGCAAATGGTCCTTGTGCCCTCCCCACTCAGCCCTGGTCTGGTCCCCTGTTGCCCATAGCCCTTTACCCTGAGCACCACCCCAACAGACTGGGGACCAGCCCCCTCCCCTGCCTGTGTCTCTCCCCAAACCCCTTTAGATGGGGAGGGAAGAGGAGGAGAGGGGAGGGGACCTGCCCCCTCCTCAGGCATCTGGGAGGGCCCTGCCCCCGTGGGCTTTACCCTTCCCTGCGGGCTCTCTCCCCGACACATTTGTTAAAATCAAACCTGAATAAAACTACAAGTTTAATATGAAGCCCCCAACTCAGCTGCTTATTTGAATTAAATGGGTATTTTTGGAAGCTACAAAAAGACTGAACTCTGCCACTGAGTTCACTGGAACCCGCTGTCTATCACTTGACTTGCTGTGGACCTGCCAGTCATCCCCCCACCCCCCAAGCAGCCTTGACCTATTCCAGACAGTTGGGTGGGAGGCAACACAAACAGCAGCAGCCAGGGTCAGTGGCAGGTAGATTTTATTGGCCTGGGACACACGGGGGGTACCCTCACCCACAGTGGGGCAGTGGGCATGATGTTGAAGATATAATCTGATGGTCACTTGTGGTAGAATCGCGGGTTCTGGCTGTGTTGGATGAAGGGGAGCCGAGGGCCAGGTTGGCTGGTAGCTGCAAAGCCCGACTGGCGGTGGTGATGAAAAGAGGGCTTTGTCACACTGGGCGTACTCTCCCACTTAATGCCCTACTGGTAACCACCCCCAGAGAGGAAGAAAAACCAGGTGATGTGGGCCACCGGTCCTACCTAATCCTGCTTTTCTGGATCCCTAGTGTAGGGATTCTGACAGGTAAATTTTATTATCATTCTTACCTTTCCTGCTGGTTGCATCTGCACAGGGAGCTGTGGGGAAGCAAGGAGTCCAGGGGCTGGATGCAGAGCCTGGGGGTGCATGGGGCGCAGAGAGGACTGCAGAGAAAAGAGGGCCTGAGGCATACTGAAGCTCCCCTTAACATATCCCTAACCCTGACCTCCCAAGGTGCCATACTCACTGAGTCGGAGAAGCCAGTCTGCTGGTTAGCATGTTCCATCTGCTTTTGCAAGGACAGGGCACCACCAGGCTGGAGGAAACCTACGTGGGCAAGAGGGGCGTGTGAGATGAGAATGAAACAGGGAGGGGAGGACCCAGAGCTAGAGCTCCTGCATGGGATGTTATCACCTGTCTGAGTGGGCTGAAAGTGGCCGTGCACGGCATAGGGCTGTGGCTGTGGCTGAGATAGGTACTGCACTGCAGGGAATGCTGAAGGAGCTGAGAAAGGAAAAGACAGAGCCATTAAAACCTTTTACTCAATGGCATTCCTCCTTTGACGTTGAGGAAGGCCAAGCCCCATCCCTCCTATTACTCACCTCTGAGCTGCTGACTAGGACTATAAGCTGGCTGTGTGGGCCCATAGTGAGGTGGGGGCTGAGCAGTCCCATAGGCACCACCAGGACTGCCTTGGAATTGTCCATGCTCTGGTGTCCCCGCAAAAGCAGCTGCTGAGCCCACATAGTGCCGGGTCTAAGGAGGGAGAATGAGAATTCGCCTATAAACTTGAAAGCTGAAACCCAGTGACTTGTGTATATCTGTATGCCCCATTTCCCCCTAAACTTAAGTGCTTGATATGTTTGTGAGTTGAATACTGGTGGCAAGGATGCATGGATGGAAGCAATAGGGGCTGGGCATCCAATCCTACTCTCACCGTAAGCACTTGGGGTCCAAACATTTGTTTGGCTCTGTCAGCTGCCATGAGGGTGCCTGGGCGATTGTGTCCTCCAGGGCTCCCTAGAAAGGGAGAAGGGCTTCATGATGCTGAAATGGGGGGCTGCAACCTGTAAGAAGGCCGGTTCCATCAGGTGGTCTCTTTAGTCCTCACCCTGCATGCTGAGGAGATGAGTTCCTGTGTGGACAGTCAGGCTCTGCTGGTATGCGGCTGATGTCAGGGTGGTCAGGTCACTGGAGTGAGAGGAAGGCAGGTCAAACCCAAGGACAGATGCCTTCTCTTTCGCCATTAAACACTAGTTCTTTTATTACTTGATCCCAGTTCCACTTGGCCCCCATTTCAGTTTTTAGCACTCTGATCCCACCTCTGTTCCTTTCGCCTCCGTTTCTCTTCCTCATGTAAAACTTTCTTGAGCTGCAGGAAAAGCTGATGCTTCTCTTCCTGTAGGGCCAAAAGCTTCTCCTCCAACTTCAGAATCTGGGAGGGAGTGGGAAGAGAAGATGAAGGCAGGGAGAGTCAAGGGAAGAAATCAAAGCTGGGAGAGTTCAAGGGACTGCTTACTTGTTCCTTGGTCTCCTCTAGTGACATTCTCTCTTCCATCTCCTTTTTCTTCCTTCTCTCCTGTTCTTCTTTCATCTTCTGTTCCATCATCTTATCCACCTCTTCTTCCTCTGGAGAATCAGGCAGAATGAAGAAGAGGCAGGGTAGTGAAAACAGTTCCAACGTTAGATTGAAGACCAGCAAAACCCACTCATCCCAACACGCCTGTGCGCTCTTTGCCTCGAGGGGACAAGCTCCCCCATCGCTGCAATAGGGAACGGAGAGGCTTTATCAGGTGCTCTCCAAGGTCCTTCCCGTCTCAAGGGTTCTGGAGCGTGGACCAGGACGCTTAAATCCCACCACAACGGGGCTATTCCTTCCCTCCTCTGCGCTCGGCAGCGGGCTCACTGGTTGGCCGCTGGGTTGAGGCCAACCCTGAGGTACAGGAGCCATTCTGGGCCGTGTGTCCCCCCGCTATGGCCCCGGCTCACCCTGCCGCTTGCGCTCCCGCTCCATCATAATGTGCCGGTGCAGCGCCCTGGCCATGGCGTTGGAAAGCTTGGGGCGCTCCAGGAGTGCGGGCATGGTGCTGCCGTGGGCGCTCGGGCCGTGGGCGCCCGGCTCTGTCTCTGACTGCCAGACCTCAGACGGCGCCTGCGGGAAGGCGGGCGCTCAGAGGGGGCCGCGCCCGGCCCAGGCGGAAGCCCGTCCGCCCGACCCGCTCGCCGCCCCGGTCACGTGTCCCAGGAGCCCGCCACCCAGCCGGGCCCGCAGCCCCCGCTCTACCGCGCGAGCGGGCGGCGCCGGGATCCCCGACTCGGTGCTGCCGCTCCCTGCCCAGCCAGCCCGGACACCAGCCCTCCCTACCCGCCTTCTCTGCGCTTTCTCAGCAGCTCCGGCGCGCCCTGGCCCGTGCGTCACATCCGGCGGCCCGGCCAAGTCCTTCCGGAGTCACGGCTGCGGCCGACCTCACGGGTTGGGTGAGAAAGCGGAAGCGCGCTGCGACGGGTGCCCGCGGCGTCCAAACCCCGTAGCCGGGAACGCGGGCGACGAGGGCTGTAAACTGGTCTTGGCATCCTCACCTCTCTTTAATTTCGCGGGCCCACCTGGTGGCACCCCAGGGGACGCGGGCTCCGGAGAGGGGCGCGCGAGAGAGAGGCCGAGGCGGAGGCTCTGAGACGATGTTTATTGGCTCCTTAGAAATCAGAGTCAGTAACAACTGTACAGAGGCCCCCATCTTCCGTGCGCCCACCCTTCCCCACTCCCGCCCGGTGGCCCCGGAAAAAGCAGCTTCATGTGGGCACAGGGGGAGACTCCTCTGGGATTCACAGTAACCAGAAACAAAAACGGAAATAAATTAAGTGATGTGGGGAAGGGGAGTAAAAGGGAGTCATGTTCCCCAAATCAGTGCATGAAGAGGGGTACCAGGGCCTGGAGCTGGGCTCCCATGGCTCCTCCCATCAGACGGAGTGCTGGGCCTCCAGACATGGAGCTGTGCCACTTGCCACCTACATCTGAGAGCCTGCCTACATGCTCCTGCGCGGCTGCCAAGCTCCAGCACCTGCGCATGCCACGAGTCACGGGAATGAGGTGGAGGCAGTCGCCAGAGTCCATGGGCCCGAGGCCCGACTGTGCTTGTAGTATTTGTGTCTGACCCCTCATTCCACCCGTACCAGCAGGGCATAGAGGAGTGTGGCCCCCTTCTCCTTAGTGACCCACTCAAGTTCGGCTGGACTGAAGTGAGGGTCAGGAGGTTCTCCAAGGGCAGCGGAAGGGGGTCCCGGGGTGTAGGAGCCAGGGCGCACACACACCTGGAACGCCACCTGAGCCTGGTGCGTCCGCTGGGATTTGGGGTCCCGGAATCTGTCAAACAGGAAAAAATAAGGGAGTGAAGCTTCTCTTCCCATCACCTCCCCCTTGCAAAGTCTGTTCCAACCACACAAGCCTTGCTGTACCTAGGAAATACTCCCGCCTTATAGGAACTTCACTCTAGCTGTTCTTTCTACCTGAAATGTTCTTCCTCCCAAAGCCTGCTCAGCTACACCCTTCACTTCCTTCTTCAAGCCTTTGCTCGAATCTCTCCCACCTTCTTACGATGCCCACACCAGCCACACTGCTGTCTCCTTCGCCCCACTCTTTCCTACGATGCCCACACCAGCCACACTGCTGTCTCCACCCCACTTTCTTACGATGCCCACACCAGCCACACTGCTGTCTCCTTCGCCCCACTCTTTCTTTGTTTCCATAGTCCTTACTTATTACCTTTAAAAATACTAAATACTGGCCGGGCACGGTGGCTCACGCCTGTAATCCCAGCGCTTTGGGAGGCCGAGGCGGGTGGCTCACGAGGTCAGGAGATCGAGACCATCCTGGCCAACATGGCAAAACCCTCTCTCTACTAGAAAAGTTAGCCGGGCTTGGTGGCACACGCCTGTAGTCCCAGCTACTCAGGAGGCTGAGGCAGGAGAATCGCTTGAACCCGGGAGGTGGAGGTTGCAATGAGCCGAGATCATGCCACTGCACTCCAGCCTGGATGACAGAGCAGGACTCCGTCTCAAAAATAAATAAATAAATAATAAATACTTATTATGTATGAACATTATAGAGAGAAAAGGCAGAGGTTCCACAAGAACAAGGTTCCTTTTCTTGCCCACTAGAAGAGTATATAAGTGGTATTTGTTCAATGAATGAAAAAAGGGCTGAGTTGGAGACTGGCAGCTAGCAAGAGGAGGTGAGAAAAGGGGAGGGCAAATCATGAAGACTCCAGTGGCTGCGCTCAGGCCCTCTTCATCCGAGCCCCTGGAGATCTCTCCCCACCCCTCCCAGTACTCACTGCACTTTGGAGGCCAGGGTCTCGGCCCCAGCATATTGAAGGGAGGGGGAAAGCAGCACAGGAGGGGGCTGCTCCTCCCGAGGAGGTGCACAGTTCTCGCCAGGCTCCTCGAACCCTACCCCAGGCTCTCCCTTCAAAGGACGGCAGCTCAGGATGGAAGCAGTACCTGGGAGGAGAACTGGGTCAAGATAGCCCTTTTTATTCCTCCACAGCCCCCCAGGCTCAGCCCACCTTGCATGGGCCTGCTCCCCAGTACCTGCTCCCAGCTCCCCTCGGTCCAGCACTCTCCGTACAGCTGCAACATTGCTCCCATGATAGGCCATGTGCCACTTCTTGGTTAGTGTCCCAGCCTCCAGGCGGGGATTCACTCTACGAGGTGGACAAGCGGGGCAGATAGAACGAAGGACACTGGCTCCCCAGTGGAGGAGCTTCACGAGGCTCTTCCTTAGGCAGGAAGTTCCTGGCACTTCCTGGCTTTTCCTTAGACAGGAAGTTCTATCACTTCTTCCATGCACCTTCTTGGGATCTCCATTTCTCCAGGGGGAAAACAGTAGGGGAAAGGCATGACCCTGCCCGTATGTACCTGAGGTTGAACCTGCACCAGCCAAAGGGCAGTGCGTATTCCCGGGGAGGCTCCCCTCTGCGCCTGTGGGCCTCGTCTCCTCGCAGCTTCCGGCAAGACTCACAGTAGCACAGGCTTCGCTTTGGCGGAGGCATGAAATAATCTTCTGCGGGACAGTAAGTAGCAGGCTTGGTGCTGTGGCTCCCACCCTTGATCTCAGCCACACTGGCACCCTTCAGCTGCTCTCCACGGCTCTGGGCCTGGCCCTGGGGATGAAGTCAGTTCTGGGGACCGGGACTCACCAGGAAGCAGCAGGAGTTCTCGGAAGCGAGAGCAAAGGGCATGGTACTCGCAGCTCTTCAGAGGACTAGCGGCGGGTGGTGGGCCCCAGCACACACTCTCTTTGATGCCTGAGGGAGCAGAGGGGCACAGGTCACAGGAGCCAGGCTAGAAGGGTAGGGGCAGGGGAGTAGGGGCAGGAGCGGGGTCCCTTTGGGCTGGCACACCGTCCACCATGTCTGCTTTCTCCATGTCCCCTTGGGTTCCAGCACTTTTCCCACTGGCAGCCCCTGGCTCAGGGTTCACGATTGTCACCTGCAGGGGAGAGGGTAGTCAGACAGCTTGGTCAGACCCCAGGGCCTGATGATCCTGGAACAGAGACTTCCCCGTCCTGGACGGCCCAGACTCTTAGGCACCCCTCCTCCCTGCCCCCACTGCCACTAACCTGCTCACACTGCCCATAGAGGTCCACAAGCGCGTGGCAGGGCTGGGGCACATCTGGCACAGCTACCCCCTGGTCCACCCCATTAACGTGGAGATGCAGCCCCCCAGAGCTGTCCAGCCGCAGTCCCAGGATGGTGCCTTCAGGGCACGTGTCCAGATTCGGCCCAAACTTCTCACAGATCTGGGAGGAGAGACCGGCTGTCTTCCAGAGGTCACACTCCACCACAGCAGCCGTCCTGCCCTTTGCTCTGCTCCCTGCTGCCAGCGCCTTGGCTTTGCCTCCACGCTTGCCTGCTGCCGAGACTCTCCTCCCGCTGCAGTTACCTAGAGCCCCTCCTCTTCCCCAAAACTGGCACATTCTCAACGGCAGGGACACCGCAGGAAGCAGCAGGCCTAAAACTGACCAGGCAACGCCACTCACCCTTGCCTGCCCATTGCTGTCCCCCTTTTACACCTGTGGTCCTACCTCCAAGGCTAGGGGTCCACTTCTCCCTTCTGGCCAGCCCTTCCCTACACACAAGCCTGGTCCCGCCCCTTCTCTATGGCTCCTACTCACCTTGAGACCGTTGTGGAAGACCCCACGGCCCCGCAGCAGCCAGGCTGCCCGTTTGAGGGCACAGGCAGAAGCAGGGAAGTTGAGCCTCTCAGGCGCGCAGGTGATGACTCCCAGGACAAGGGAAGACGTCCACTGTCGGTTTAGGAAATCTATCCGCACCTGGGGAAGAAGGAACTACTCCATAATCACAGCCTCCTGGGAAAAACCAGGCTCGACCCCCCGCCAGGGAGGGAATACTGCACCTCCCAAAATGTGGCCTGGGATGCTGCCTTTTCTTATGCATGGAAGGACCAGAAAATGCAAATTTAGTTGTTTATTTCCCTTTTTTTTTTTTTTAA